TTCTTCCTCTTCCCACAACTAATCCGCACCGCCCTCTTGCGTGGCATCTTGTGCCCTCTGGTTAATCTAAGGCCAAAGAGTTATCCCAAGAAATCATCAAAATCCACCACCAGAAATCCCGAGAAAAAAGAGAAAAACTTGGGAAAAATAGCCTCAGGATTTTATTTTAATTTTTTTATATAAAAAATGTAAAGTTACTCATTTGCCCTTTAAAAATTAGTCAACAATTGGCCATATTTTTTTATTTTTGGCCAACTAACTGTTTTTGTCAATTTGAACTCCAAGTGTGAGTTGTTAAAAGGTTTGGTACCGTAGGTGGTACAAATGAAATGTTTGAGTAAAGTCTGCAACTAAATGAAAGATATGGTACCGTAACTGCAATTTTCCCAAATATATATATATGTATATTCTAGTTCAATACTACCAAGAATTTCAGACTCCATCTGAAATTTATTTTTTCCATCTAATAGAAAAAATGACATCTATGGATGTTCTTAAATAAACGCAGTATCTTTAAATCATCTTGAAAGTAGAACGTAAGACGAATACCAGGTCGCCAAGGTTTATACCTCCTTGAAAATATGGACATCAGCCACTTCATTCCTCTGTCCAAGAAGTTTTGAATGAAAAATCTAAGCACTGAAATTTATGGTACACGAATGGATGTCAACTGCTAGATTTTCCTTTCTAATCAACGGGGAGAAAACTGTGTTGATTATAGGGCTGGACATGATCCGATTCGGTTCGGTTCGGTCCTGTTCGATTCTGAAGAGAACCGAACTGGGTATTTATTAAGTGGAATCGTCGGGTCCAAATTTAATTTTGGAAATGTTCGGGTTCGGTTCGGTTTGATTATATTCGGTTCTCGGATTCCATATAGTAATTAATTTTTTTATATTTACAACGCTGCATTAATTCGATTATGACATATTCAATCTTAATTCTTATAAAATAATGTAGTCCAATATGGCAATATCTTTTGCACATTTTTTTGTTGAGTTTTTCATAAATTTGACTGTTAAAATCATAGGAAAATGAAGATAGTGAGCTTACAATAATAGAACGACGGAAACGGCACTACGGTAGAATAAGAGATTTTGGTAAAATTTAGATCAATTTGATTAAGTTGGGTTTGGCTAAAAATTGAAAATAGTAAAATCATATTTTAGTTAGCAAATTCATTTTTAAAAAATAAAATAATTTGACTTATTTTAGATAAAAAAAAATTTTAAATTAAGGAAATTCGATTCTTATTCGGTTCTAGATCTAGAACCGAGAACCGAACGAAACCTGTCAGTTCTCAATTTAGATACTCGTTCAGGTATTTAATTTAATTAAGAAGAACTGCTCTGTTCAGTTGGGTTCGGATCTGGTTCGGTCCAATTCGTTTTGAGAATTTTGTCCAATTTTAACATAATTTCCCCTAAACTCAATTTTAACCACACATGGAAGGCATTCGTGAACAGTTCCCTGTAACTCTATGTTCTGCTCGAAAGATAGAAACATGGGTATTCTCATGTAATTCTCAACTGCCTAACATGATCCTATCAGAAACCATGGCCTATCTCACGAGGGACTACAAAAGGTGAATAGGATGACAACATTGATATTGCCTAATGCAGAGAGAATCTGGGCACTACCACCAGCAAATAGTCTGAAACTTAATGTTGATGCTACTGTTGTCAGAGTTTGATGACTAAGAAGTAAGAACTGACTGGCATGATGAAAACGAAAAATGGAAGCTGAAATCTTCGACTGAGTGGAAAGGGTTATATTACATCTTTTTCCTCAAATAGTCTGAAACTTAATGTTGATGCTACTGTTGTCAGAGTTTGATGACTAAGAACTAACTGGCATGATGAAAAGGAAAAATGGAAGCTGAAATCTTCGACTGAGCGGAAAGGGTTATATTACATCTTTTTCCAATCCTCATAATTTAGTGAAATCTGAAGCCTCTATGTCTAAGAAATCATTGAAAAAGTCACTCAAACATTCGACAACACTTACAATACTTTAAGGTTGATGAACATGCATGTCCTCTTGCACTGATTTGCATGCATATTCAATTGGATTATCAAAGATCCGAATCACGCCAAGTATTTAAACAAGTTAGCACTATCCTTGTCTCTTTCCAGAGAGTCCCTAGTAATCAAATCTTCGATCCTCTTTTTGATTGCTTTAATCAGGCTGTGCGGAGAACATTTACATTTTCACAATATTGTCAATTGATTCAAAAAGCATGTTTGGCTAAACTTAAAAGTAACTCTTAGGTAATTTTTTGTTTCTAAACATGTTTGCATAAGTTAATGTGTTTTATATACAAGTACAAAATTTTACATATTTTACCTTGAGTTGGGGGTTACTTCCAAAATAAGTAAATTTGTAACTTTGTTAAGCAAAAAACATTAAACTTGCCTACCTACTTGCAAGAAGTTTTACTTAAGCTCAAATAAACATGCATGTGAAGTAGGAGGAGACATCTGAAGCGTCACGTTGAACATGCGCCCCAGCTACTCAACACACTCCATATATAACCAACTACTGATAGCCCAAGACTTTCCTAATCTTCATGATACGTACAAGCATCAATAGCATATCGTCTGTCCTTGTCAACATCTTCGATTACTTTCTTCTTTTCATCGACAGGAGGGAGAAGGATCTGCAAATTTCATTGAAATACTCTATTTTGCTCGGACTCTCCAAAAATAGAGAAGTATCCCTGTCGACACGACATGACATGGATACTGATACGGGATATGGGTCGGATACTTGGTTGTACACTCGGACACGGCAGCAGAGAAGAAGTGGACGGGGTGGAGAACAGTGGACGGCGGGAGAAGACCCATTTCTTTCGAGTCTTGTGGTAGTATTTTGCAGAAATTGATGGAGGATGTTACGGGAATAAAGGAGAAGAAAACGGCTAACAGGAGCTTGGCAGCAGAAAGGAGAAATTATGCAGAAGCGGAGAAGACGAAGAACTGTAGGTTTAGTTGGGTGTGAAGTGGGCTTTTGTCAAGCCCAATGAATAAGTTAGATTTAGTGGGTGTTAAATGGGCTTTTGTGTGGCCAAATGAATAATTTAATTATTAAGGAAATTATGTGGTTTCAAAAGTTAACAATTTATACTATCAAAATTTGGAAATTGTCTCTACCAAATTTTATAATTTATTGTTAATGACGTGAGTTATTGTTTTATTTAAGATAAGATTAATTTAATATTTAATTCTAA